GGAGTTACGATCATCATGGCACTACGACTGTCAGATGTCTCTGTTATAGTATGGGAGTTATGATCATCATAGCACTTTGACAGTCAGATGTCTCTGTTATAGTATGGGAGTTACGATCATCATGGCACTATGATTGCCATGTGGAACGAGGCCCAGGTTGCCAACTCACAGCGACATTAAGCAACAGACTGTGTCTGACTCTGTGATTGGCTGATTGTGTGTTGTCATACCCTTGTTGCTCATGTTTTCGTTTACTGGTTGCCTTATCAAGACTGTCCAGGCTGCTGGGATATATCTGGATTATTGCTGACTTCAGTGTTGGGTAACATCTGTTGTAATACACTACATGATGGCTTTGACCAAAAACAATTGTGAGTGAGTGAGTTGGGTTTAACGCCGCTTTTAACAGTATTCCAGTTATATCACGGCGTGTCAGCTTAATGTGGGAGGAAAGCCAGAGGTGGTGCAGGTCTCATGAGCACTGGTGTGGTGCTGACAAACCTGACAAAGGTGAGCTTGGAATCGAACCCACAATCATAGGTTTCTGGCGTGTCCAAGGGATGCAACTCTGCACAGCAAATCGTTTGCCATGAACACCCATTTCTTTTGACATCACAAACTGCGCTGAAACATTCCGTATTAAATATCTCTTCTTTCATTAACAAATGGTCATGCAAAGAAAATCAGCGTCTTCTCTCTGGATCTTATAAAGCTGAAATTCATTTTCTATGTTTAGTACCCATAGGGTTAGAAATAACCGACTTCATAAAAGTCGTATGTGCACTAGTGCAAATATCACTTCATGAGCACCAGTGTGTTGTTTACATCATGTTGACAGCGTTATTAACGTCAATCTCAATGTGGTGTAAGGTCAGAATGACGTCACACTGGAAATGACGTCATAGCTGAAGATTGTTGACGTAATTCGATTATTGTGGTTTTCTAAGACGGCAGCCGTTATCAGTGCATTTTTGTAAAGGGGAGCTCAAAAGAATTAAGAAAAAACGGGTAATAAAGAAATTATTATACTCACATGTTTTTTACACTGATTTTAAGAAACTCATGTAAGAATACATGTGTTACCCTCGCTTTCGCTCGGGAATTCTGACACTCATTTCATAAAATCAGTTTGACACACATGTGCGTATAATGATCTCTATTCCTCCCTATGATAACATCATACTTTATATATTTGCGTCCTCTGTATTTGCACAGAAAAGTTTTGAATATGCATGTTGTCTCTGTTGATATGTTAAACTTGATGTCGTATCCAGGTGAGCTAAAGATTTTCAGATTTGAGAGTGTTACCCAAGGATGTCTAAGACATTTTAGGGCCTCATTAATATTCAGTTCTAAACAATGTTTGTAACAGATTAGTGCATAATAGAGCACGCCAGGGGGCATACGTGCCGGTCTCCGTGTGTTCGCAGCCAGCCAGGTGTCAGGACATAGCCTGGGTGTTATGACTGTGTATATCCTGCCTTGGTGCAGCTGATATGTGTGTTTATGCCTCTTATTCCCAGATAGGTCAACTCTTATTGTCTCACTGCCACTTTCTGTTTTTCAGGGAAAGCGCACTCGAAGTCATATAAATTCTCATCACCAATGTAAGGATGAATCGAAGCCCCCAAGGTAAGATACTTCTCAAGTATGAATGGATATTTGTATATTTAGTATTAATACTAAGTACATATATATTTTTTCCTTTTGTGGCAGCGGTTGAAGCATTAGCTCATCATGCTTAGTGCCTGGGTTTGTTTCACTCACTCACTCACTCACTCACTCACTCACTCACTCACTCACTCACTCACTCACTCACTCACTCACTCACTCACTCACTCACTAGGACCTTGATTAGTATTGGTCCCCTGCACACTAGATTGGATTAGGTGTTCAAACTCGGTGATTGGTGGACTGATTTACTTGGAATGGAATGGAATGGAATGGAATGATGCTCACAATATCATCCCCTTGTTTGTGTGGTCTAGAGGTGATGATTGCTGAGATATAGGTGGAATATTGCTGACTGTGGAATGAAACAAGGGAAGGGGCACCATCATTAATTGTGATGACTTTTATGATGTGCTTCTAAATAAAGGTATTCTAGCATTAAGATAATGTAGTCATCTTGTTTTTAAAAAGTTTCTTTTCCTTTTCGACTTTTCTCCAAGGTGATAAAGAAAGTCTTTGATGTACGGGTATTTCTATGCTTGTCCTTTTTGTTTAATGACCTTCCAAATTGGTAGGAATATAAAAGTCACTTGTAAGTGAATGCAGACCTTCCTATAACATGACTTGGTGCCATCGTATCATAACAAATGTATTTCTTTATTGCAAAATTGCAAATGCTCTTGCCCTAGATTGATAATATAATCGTGTGGAAGACTCTTGCAAATAAAAGGATGTCAGGAAAAGACTGACATTTTCACGGATTGAAATGAACCAGAAACGCCTGGTTCCAGCATGGTTGGTTTTATGAAATACTCACACTGTTAGACGGGAGTTCTTCTACGTTGAGCCCATTAAATGTGTTAGTGAATAAAAAGAAAGATGGTTGTGAACATGATGGCAGGAAAGTACAAATGTGAAATGGAGCACTTAATCAATGATAATGCTTGACCTTTGTGCTTTTTTGTCCAATGGTGGCCTGGCATTGACCGATGATTCCATTAGTCACGATAGAGATGTTGCTAAAGAAAGTATTTAATCTCTTGCACTTGTGTGTGTTGAACTGTCACTGACGCCTCTTCCTTTTCATCATTTTGAATGAAGATTTACTTAAAGAGCAGATAATTCAGATATGTCATATATTGTTGAAAGTGATGAAATAAATATCTATATTGGTCCAATTTCATTTTGTCTTTGAATTTGTTCAATTGATATAACTGTGATAGATTATTTCATCTGTATCCATGAGTGAGTGAGTGAGTGAGTGAATGAGTAAATGAATGAGTGAATGCCTTATCAGAAATTCCTTTTACAATTTGTAAGTTTATATCAACAAAATGTCAGTGCTCTGAACTTGACACAAGACTGTCACATACATTTCATAATAGAAATGGCTTCTTTCATACTGGGAATATTTTTCTGTTGCAAACGTTTGACCTAAATGTAAATTGAAAGCTGACTATTTTCTTTTGAAGATATATAGAATGTGTCAAATGAATTATTTTCCCTATTAATCTTATGGCTGGAGGAAGTAGTGTCTTATTCGATAAATAAAATTACAAGGTGTCTGTAGTTCGAGGTTTACCTTTGTCTTCCTACTCTTCATCTTGTCCTGGCCACAGACACGATGGAACCAACCGTTTCATATTGTAATCTTTTTTTCTCTGGAAGGAGGCGCCAAACCATTCTTTGGAATTGACACAACAAATTATTTTCAGAGCATCCAGTATGTCCACTGAACAAGAATTTTGCTGTAAATCTCACAAATATATATTTGTATTTGGGGGAAAAGATTTTTTAAAAAGAAAATTCCAGGTCCCCCAATCTTATTTGATTCCCAAACATTCATACAGTTGTACGAGAGTTTGTCGAATCGGTGAGAAAGTTTATGTTTGTTAAAAACTTTCGTGGAAGGGTCCCTGAATTGCAATTTCGTGGCTATATCGTAATCCATTCGTAATTAATTCTTAGGTTTTGTAACAGCTTTGTAATCGATTCTTTTGCATTCTTGGCTATTCTTCGCGATTCTTGTCTCCCAAAATTTCTTGTCCTCAACCTGAAAACATCCCTAAACAGTCCAGAATTCTCTAAGTCAATTACGAATCATGTAAGAATTAAGTAAGAACAACACAATTCCCAGGACCAGAGCAACACGTGCTCTCCGTTGAACCTCCATGGTGGAAATGATGGGTTGGCCAGTCTTTCAGGACCCAAGAACATGCCGAAGTGTCAGGAAAAGTACCGATTTTCGCAAACTATTTGTAAATATGCTGTATTAGTCGTATCTTATTCGTTGCGATCGTCCTGCATTCATCCATGCATTCGGCATATTCATAACTTTGTTGTAGGTGATTCTTACAATTTGTGCATGATCCGTCCATGAATCTTGTAATTCGTACATGTTTCTTAACCCATTCCTGACATTCTTCAAATTTTCAACCCAATTAGCCACAAGTTTTCGTAACTCCGTCGTACGTTTGTTGTAACTGCTTCATACCTCCTACCGATTCTCCACGAAGGTTTGCATTTTGGGCTGTAGGGCTGGGACGGGTAACTCAGGTACTCGGGTTGGGTGAGTACTGGGTAGGACCCGGGTACCCACAGGACTACCTGGACCCGTGGTTAGTCACGTGATTATATTGTTTAATGGCAAAAATTATCTAGAACTCTATGGTTACACTATAAGTGACAAATATTCACATTTCTTTCCGACTATGCACACATTCCTTCTGACATTATATGTTTGCATAAAGTTAAAACTTTAGTCAACTTCAGTGTATGCATGACCACATCATTTTATACCAGTATCTAAATACATTTTGACAGTACGGTCAAACATTTCCCAGTCGGGCATTTTGTACCTATCTCTTGACACCTTTAGCGGGTACCCGGGTAGGGTCGGGTAACAAGGGGGGTGGGTACCCTGGTAGTAAATTTGGACTCGTCCCAGCCCTAATTGGCCGGATCATCACGAATTTCGAAAGTTTCCGATTCGGGGCGATTCGGGATATTCGTGGTTGTAGTGAAAGGGGGGCATTAGGCGCTGTGCAGAATTGCGTTCTTTGGGCACGCCAGAAACCTATGATTGTGGGTTCAAATCCTGGTTCGCCCTGATTATGTTTCTAGGTTTGATAGCACCATACTCTTGCTCGTGGGTATCATCGAAGTGGTAAACGTCTGTGACCTGCATCACTTCGGGCTTTCCTCCCACATTAAGCTGATACGCTGTGATATAACTGGAATACTGTTAAAAGCGGCATTAAACCCAACTCACTCACTCGTAAGAAAGATGTGGTGAATAAAGTAGTTAGGCCCTTGGGCTTCTGGTGAATATGATCATCGTCAATGTATTCAGCAGCTTTGTGGCCTGGAGCAGGGGCATATATTACATGGTAAGTAGTCAATTAGCACCATGTAGGCTGTAGCATGGTAGAGGACATGCTTCACAGGTGACAGATCACATATAGCAGGACAGGCTTGCTTGAGGCACCTGCTGAAGCTCCTCACATGGCTTGTGTTAGACATGCACACGTTTTTAGGGCAATAGTTATTAGTTAAAATCATAATTTCTAGATTATGTAGATAATTAGAACAAGTTGTCCCTATAAGAGACTGGGGTCCTTGTACTTTCCACATATCTAGACTTGCCTATTAGGAGGACAGAATTACTACACATCCAAGGACTAGGCTAGGCTTGTGTACTCCTTACAGGGCTTGTGTGCTCCTCACGGGGTTTATGTGCTCCTCATGGGGTTTGTGTACTCCTCACAGGGCTTGTTTACTCCTCACAGGGCTTGTGTACTCCTCACGGGGCTTGTGTACTTCTCACGGGGCATGTGTTCTCCTCACGGGGCTTGTGTTCTCCTCACAGGGCTTATGTACTCCTCACAGGGCTTGTTTACTCCTCACAGGGCTTGTGTACTCCACACAGGGCTTGTGTACTCCACACAGGGCTTGTGTGCTCCTCACAGGGCTTGTGTACTCCTCACAGGGCTTGTGTGCTCCTCACAGGGCTTGTGTACTCCTCACAGGGCTTGTGTACTCCTCACAGGGCTGGTGTACTCCACACAGGGCTTGTGTACTCCTCACAGGGCTTGTGTACTCCTTGTTGTTGTGATTTACTTCACATGTAGACTAGGGCTCAGTCATTTGAAAATATGAAGTTTGATAAAAACAAGCAACTACTTTTAATGAAAAGGAGCCCCTGGGGAGAAACTAGACTTGCTTCATTCAGAGCTTGGGCATTAGTAGGGGCTGGGAGGAAGGGAAAATATTATTGTTCTGGGACTGTGAGACAGACTATAAGGCTGTGAGATAAGATATGTTTGTTGCTTGTACATGCTACTACAGAACAGTAGTGTGTACAACACTTAGGCATTATGAACGTTTATGTATGTGTGTATATTGACATTGTATGACACAGGTGAGGGGCATTCATGTACTTATTTCCCCACATTGTTGTATTTAGTAACATTGTCTGCATGGCTTGTTGTTCTCGTAACATTGTTGGAAGGTATATATGAGGACATCATTGTTATTCCCCCTTTCTAGAGGTGCATTGTGGGAGGTGAGTGGCTGGGTACATTGTGTACTTTTGTCCAGTATGGAGCTGTGCAAGACACAAGATATTTATTGTGCAACATTCCAAGCAAAAATGTAACAACATTGTATAAACTATATAAACATATAAATGATAAGTTAAGATGACAATACAAAATACCAAAGCAGAATATTCGGTGTCATAACCAAAGATTATCCATAATGAGTATTCCCGATTTATTTGAAGCAGTATATATGCCATCAGATTATTTCTGTGTACATGGTTCATTATTGATCTTTTCCTTTATGGTAAGGCTTTAAAATATTTATTTTTTCAGGAAATTGAATTAGGAATGCCTTACATCTGAATATTTACATGAATTAATTTTATTCATGTTCAAGGACTGAGCGGTGATAAAGGCTAGTGATAGATATTGGCTTTTGTATTGCAATTTATTGCAATAAGTATTTATGTATTTCGATACGTACCACAAGATATTGCATGTGTTCTTTCATCTGTAATTTGTTGTGAACCTGAAAAAATATACATCCAACCTCCTCTTCCCATTCATAATAGTCATCTGCCATTTTGATGAACGCTTCTTCATAGACACATTATATACTGGGAGCTGGTTGCGAAAAGTTTCGCTATTTCAATCACAGCGATCAGTTGCTAAATTCTGAATTTCACGATTGACTTGTTGTAAACTTTGCCCCCAAGATGAAAAAACGCATGATTTTGAACAAGACACAATAGTACGGTATTTTCCAAACATACTGTGATACGTATTCATTATCCCCCGCCGCGCGAAAGCGCGAAGCGGGGGATATAGTATTCACGACCGTCCGTACGTACGTCCGTACGTCCGTACGTCCCACCTGTTTGTTGCCGCAATATCTCAAGAACTAAACACTGGATTGTCTTCATATTTGGAACTATGGTGTATATACAGACTCCGCAGACACCAGTCGGTTTTGGTGACCTTGACCCCATTTTCAAGGTCACAGCAGGCATATCTGCTTTTGGAGTTGGAAAACGGTGTTGCCGCGATATCTCAAGAACTAATCTCTGGATTGTCTTCCTATTTGGTACTAGGGTGTATATACAGACTCCGCAGACACCAGTCGGTTTTGGTGACCTTTAGCCCATTTTCAAGGTCACAGCAGGTAAATCTGCTTTTGGAGTTGGAAAACGGTGTTGCCGCGATATCTCAAGAACTAATCGCAGGATTGTCTTCATGTTTGGAACTATGGTGAATATACAGACACCGCAGACACCAGTCGGTTTTGGTGACCTTGACCCCATTTTCAAGGTCACAGCAGGTAAATCTGCTTTTTGAGTTGGAAAACGGTGTTGCCGCGATATCTCAAGAACTAATCGCAGGATTGTCTTCATGTTTGGAACTATGGTGTATATACAGACACCGCAGACACCAGTCGGTTTTGGTGACCTTGACCCCATTTTCAAGGTCACAGCAGGTAAATCTGCTTTTGGAGTTGGAAAACGGTGTTGCCGCAATATCTCAAGAACTAATCGCAGGATTGTCTTCATGTTTGGAACTATGGTGTATATACAGACACCGCAGACACCAGTCGGTTTTGGTGACCTTGACCCCATTTTCAAGGTCACAGCAGGCAAATCTGCTTTTGGAGTTGGAAAACAGAGTTGCCGCGATATCTCAAGAACTAAACACTGGATTGTTTTCATATTTGGAACTATGGTGTATATACAGACTCCGCAGACACCAGTCGGTTTTGGTGACCTTGAACCCATTTTCAAGGTCACAGCAGGTAAATCTGCTTTTGGAGTTGGAAAACGGTGTTGCCGCGATATCTCAAGAACTAATCGCAGGATTGTCTTAATATTTGGAACTATGGTGTATATACAGACACCGCAGACACCAGTCGGTTTTGGTGACCTTTAGCCCATTTTCAAGGTCACAGCAGGTAAATCTGCTTTTGGAGTTGGAAAACGGTGTTGCCGCAATATCTCAAGAACTAATCGCAGGATTGTCTTCATGTTTGGAACTATGGTGTATATACAGACACCGCAGACACCAGTCGGTTTTGGTGACCTTGACCCCATTTTCAAGGTCACAGCAGGCAAATCTGCTTTTGGAGTTGGAAAACAGAGTTGCCGCGATATCTCAAGAACTAATCGCAGGATTGTCTTCATGTTTGGAACTATGGTGTATATACAGACACCGCAGACACCAGTCGGTTTTGGTGACCTTGACCCCATTTTCAAGGTCACAGCAGGTAAATCTGCTTTTGGAGTTGGAAAACAGAGTTGCCGCAATATCTCAAGAACTAATCGCAGGATTGTCTTCATGTTTGGAACTATGGTGTATATACAGACACCGCAGACACCAGTCGGTTTTGGTGACCTTGACCCCATTTTCAAGGTCACAGCAGGCAAATCTGCTTTTGGAGTTGGAAAACGGTGTTGCCGCGATATCTCAAGAACTAATCACTGGATTGTCTTAATATTTGGAACTATGGTGTATATACAGACACCGCAGACACCAGTCGGTTTTGGTGACCTTGACCCTATTTTCAAGGTCACAGCAGGTAAATCTGCTTTTGGAGTTGGAAAACAGTGTTGCCGCGATATCTCAAGAACTAATCGCAGGATTGTCTTCATGTTTGGAACTATGGTGTATATACAGACACCGCAGACACCAGTCGGTTTGGGTGACCTTGACCCCATTTTCAAGGTCACAGCAGGTAAATCTGCTTTTGGAGTTGGAAAACGGTGTTGCCGCAATATCTCAAGAACTAATCGCAGGATTGTCTTCATGTTTGGAACTATGGTGTATATACAGACACCGCAGACACCAGTCGGTTTTGGTGACCTTGACCCCATTTTCAAGGTCACAGCAGGCAAATCTGCTTTTGGAGTTGGAAAACAGAGTTGCCGCGATATCTCAAGAACTAAACACTGGATTGTTTTCATATTTGGAACTATGGTGTATATACAGACACCGCAGACACCAGTCAGTTTTGGTGACCTTGAACCCATTTTCAAGGTCACAGCAGGTAAATCTGCTTTTGGAGTTGGAAAACAGTGTTGCCGCGATATCTCAAGAACTAATCGCAGGATTGTCTTAATATTTGGAACTATGGTGTATATACAGACACCGCAGACACCAATCGGTTTTGGTGACCTTGACCCTATTTTCAAGGTCACAGCAGGCAAATCTGCTTTTGGAGTTGGAAAACAGTGTTGCCGCGATATCTCAAGAACTAATCGCAGGATTGTCTTCATATTTGGTATTTTGGTGTATATACAGGCGGGGGACATTTCGTCACTTCTGTGACAAATACTTGTTAGTATTTGAGAAACGTTGTATACTGTTAATACCGCGCACCTCTAGTGAAGGCACAGTGTAAATTGTGTTATTCAATGCTTATTGTGTTTGTGCAAATAATAAATATCATAGAGCTTGATGTGTGCATGATTTAAATTTTCTGTATATTGTTCAAGAAACTTGATGGATTCGAATCCATTCTGGTTTGTCAGCACCAGTGTTCATGGGTTTCAACAAAGGGGTCAACATCTACGACGTGCATCACTTTTGGCTTTCCTCCTAATATTACCTGAAATACTGCTCAAAATGGCATAAAACTCACTCGCTCCTCGCTCGCTCACTCACTCACTCACTCAACAACTCAACCACTTACTCACTCACGTGACTTCAACAGGAAGTCAGGAAAACATTTCAGTCAAAAAAAATTGTGGAGATTTTTGTTGTGATGACTGAACACTCAATTTCATGAAAAAAATATCCTTAAAAATATTCCCGATCCCAAGCTTGTTTGTTCAATATCTACAGTGCAGCAGGATACTGAGATGTTGGATCATTGACATGAAACTAGTTATTCTAACGAGGGCAACTAGAAAACACTTAAATCTTGAAATTACATGACGATCAATTTCTCTCCTAGTTATTAGACACTATATCACATGATGAAGATATGAAACTTCAAAGTCTTCAGGTTTTTTACATGATTCTGGTTGAATGATTGTAATGTTCACATCATTGAAAAGTGGGTTGGGCTTTAGCTGGGGATGGTTGGACAGTAGAACCCTAATTTATCAGAGTATCCAAAGACTGGTGATCCCTTCAAGATAAACACAGACTCCAGCCCTGTCATAAGTGCATCTAGTAATTGAATCATCTCTGCAAATGACCCTTGCAAACAGCCTCCCAAATTTCATTTGGAAGATCACAGATCTGTCAAGGATATTTTTAGCTTTTTAATATGCTTTAATCAGGTAGGCACAAAGCTGTATGTAATATAACCAGTGTGGTATCAGCATTCTTGGATAGTGCCACACTGCCTGGAGACAGCAGGGCCTGGGGGCATTTTGTTGTGGGGATTATCAGCAGAAGGGTGGGGGTCAGGTTCATTAGGGGTAGAGCACTTGGGAAGTAGAGAGGTGGGGTGGGGGAGGGTCTGGGGAAAGGGCCCACATTTAGGCTTGGGGGTGGGGTTGCTTGTTTACATAGGAGCGTGTATGATCTGGGGGTGGGGGGATGGGGTTATTGAAGGGGGAAATGGGGGGTAAGATTTTGTTCCCAGGGTAAAGAACCCTGCACAGTTGGGGTTGTGTGGCAGGATTTAGGGGTGGGGGCTGAGTGGGTGAGTGGTGAACTGTCGGAAGGTGGAGATAATGCTGGAAATGGTGTCAAGTGGGAGGGTTGTGAATGAACAAAAGTTTTGATTGGATTAATGAATTGAGGAATGCAATACATTGATGGAAAAAAATATAAATAAAAAATGACGAAATTAAATAAAAATAAATGTTTGAGATGGGAAAAGGTCTAGGATAGGCATGTTTAGGGGGGAATTATTTGGGGTGGTGGTGTCAAAAAGGGTATGACTGACACATAAACAACATCGACTGACACAAACTTATCATGCCATTGAAACTGAGGTGCCCGGAGAGTGTGACCCTTGACCTGATGAGATTTCGCTCAGGCTAACATAGGTATATATCACTGTTCCTGTACATGGCTGCTGCTTCTTCAGCTGACCTACTTCATGTGCTTACCCTTCATTGCTGACAATGTTGTTTGTGTCTTGCCCTACAGATTCAAGCATTGCTTACCCTACAGATTCAAGCATTGCTTACCCTACAGATTCAAACATTGCTTACTCTACAGATTCAAACATTGCTTACTCTACAGATTCAAACATTGCTTACTCTACAGATTCAAACATTGCTTACCTTACAGATTCAAGCATTGCTTTCCCTACAGAATCAAGCATTGCTTACCCTACAGATTCAAGCATTGCTTACCCTACAGATTCAAACATTGCTTACCCTACAGATTCAAGCATTGCTTACCCTACAGATTCAAACATTGCTTACCCTACAGATTCAAACATTGCTTACTCTACAGATTCAAACATTGCTTACCTTACAGATTCAAGCATTGCTTTCCCTACAGAATCAAGCATCGCTTACCCTACAGATTCAAGCATTGCTTACCCTACAGAATCAAGCATCACTTACCCTACAGATTCAAGCATCGCTTACCCTACAGATTCAAACATTGCTTACCCTACAGATTCAAACATTGCTTACCCTACAGATTCAAACATTGCTTACCCTACAGATTCAAGCATCGCTTACCCTACAGAATCAAGCATCACTTACCCTATAGGTTCAAGCATTGCTTACCCTACAGATTCAAACATTGCTTACCCTACAGAATCAAGCATCACTTACCCTACAGAATCAAGCATCACTTACCCTATAGGTTCAAACATTGCTTACTCAACAGATTCAAGCATCACTTACCCTACAGAATCAAGCATCGCTTACCCTAGAGATTCAAACATTGCTTACCCTAGAGATTCAAACATTGCTTACCCTACAGATTCAAGCATTGCTTACTCAACAGATTCAAGCATCGCTTACCCTACAGATTCAAGCATCGCTTTCCCTACAGAATCAAACATTGCTTACCCTACAGAATCAAGATCACTTACCCTACAGAATCAAGCATCACTTACTCTACAGACACAAGCATTGCTTACCCTACAGATTCAAGCATTGCTTACTCAACAGATTCAAGCATCGCTTACCCTACAGATTCAAGCATCGCTTACCCTACAGAATCAAGCATCGCTTTCCCTACAGATTCAAACATTGCTTACCCTACAGATTCAAGCATCACTTACTCTACAGACACAAGCATTGCTTACCCTACAGATTCAAGCATCGCTTACCCTTCAGATTCAAGCATCGCTTACCCTACAGATTCAAGCATCGCTTACCCTACAGATTCAAGCATTGCTTACCCTAGAGATTCAAACATTGCTTACCCTACAGAATCAAGCATAGCTCACCCTACAGAATCAAGCATTGCTTACCCTACAGAATCAAGCATCGCTTACCCTACAGATTCAAACATTGCTTACCCTACAGATTCAAACATTGCTTACCCTACAGATTCAAGCATCACTTACTCTACAGATTCAAGCATCACTTACCCTACGGATTTAAGCATCGCTTACCCTTCAGATTCAAGCATCACTTACCCTACAGATTCAAACATTGCTTACCCTACAGATTCAAGCATCACTTACCCTACAGATTCAAGCATCGCTTACCCTACAGATTCAAGCATCGCTTACCCTTCAGATTCAAGCATCACTTACCCTACGGATTTAAGCATCGCTTACTCCTCAGACACAAGCATCACAATGTTTCCAAGCTATACAGGCATTTTTTATCAAAAACAACAACATTTTTTAACAGAAGGAATTTTTAATAGGATAAGATTTTAATGATTCTAAAATGTGGTAACTTTCAAGCAGATGGTTATCCTTCATTATGTTTAGAAATCCGTCTTAGATAGAAAACTGATGTGTTACTGATATAGGTTAAACAAATTTATTTACTTCAAAAACTATTGAATTTACTACCTGAGGAAATCATTTAATTATCTAGATCTCCTTTTTTGTGTCATGAATTATGTAAATTTAGTTTTTTGGATGTTTAGGTGTTGGATTATTTTGGCAGAAACTAATTCAGGTTTGCAGGTTTTGTAAAGTTAGGATGTTATACTGTATATAAAGAGTTGTGAGGATATACAAAATCTTCAAGACATTTTATGGTGCACCAGATGGAGATTAAAGTAAAATAAAATCCAGTTTGTTTTGCAGTAAAACTAAAACCTCAGGCTAACTTAGGAATATTTATTCTCTTGAGATAATAATTTCCATACAGTTGTTTTAATACAAAACTCTGATATATGAATAACTACATAGAAAACAATCCCCAGGTGTCTCTAGGCTCAGAGGCAACTGAGGCAGCTTTAGAAAAAGTGAGTTGGCTTTATGGTTGATTTTATAATAAAATTATAAATAAAATAATTTCTTGAAAACATATCTTACAATCATTGTCATGATTTGACACAAAGAAAAAAAAAGAAAAAGAAGAAGAAAACATTATTGGTTACTAGTCTCCCACAGTAGCTGCGTAGTAAGTACGTATTTCTAAAGTGAGTGAGTGAGTGAGTATGGTTTTAAGCCGCTTTTAGCAATATTCCAGCAATATCACGGCGGGGACACCAGAAATGGGCTTCACACATTGTACCCATGTCAGGAATCGAACCCGGGTCTTCGGCATGACGAGCTAATGCTTTAACCACTAGGCTACCCGACCGCCCCCTCAGGGGAAAGAGAAAATATGTATTAGTTTAATTTACCGTAATAAGCGCCCATGGTGCTCTCAAAATTAGAAATAGCTTGATGTATTAACTTCCATATCTTATTATTGTGATAATGCAGCTCCACATTACCGATGAGTAGAAAAGGTTGCTTGTGCCACTGTTACACAGGGAAGTACCGGTAAACAGCAGGTCATGTTGAAAAGGAAATATAGTTGCTTTGTGTTCGTGATTTTTTTAATACTACCTTATATCACTTACCTATATTCCTCTGTGATAACGATGATATATTTAATGTTTATTACCACTTCTTTGTTGCAGCTACTCATTTGTAAAATTAAAGTGTTTGTTGTTATTATGTTGACTTTGAGGTGCACAACAATATGTGTATATATATATATATATACACATCAAAGCGACCATATCGCTACCTCTCTGTATTGCTTCGGTGACAGCATGTGATATAAGCAAATGTAAACTACACAAATGGAAATAGTTTTTCACTTTTTGAGTTATTTTCTCATTGAAAGTTAACCGTGACATATATTTATCTTGATATGTAGGGGCAGTCAGGTAGTCTAGTGGTTAAAGCATTCGCTCGTCACGCCAAAGACATGGTACAATGTGTGAAGCCCATTTCTGGTGTCCCCTACCGTGATAGTGCTGGAATATTGCTAAAAGCGGCTTAAAACCATACTCACACACTCACTTGATGGGAATACTCGTTAAAAATGAAAGAGAAAAAATATGATCATTGTTGCTTTGCGTTGGCTCTGTTGCGGTATGTGTTAAAGTGGGCTCTATGGAACGAGGTAAACGGAAGTTGTAAGTATCGCAGGGACACGATTTCGCAGAAATTAATGTAAACATTATGGAATGAAATTTTGAATAAAATGACTAAAATAGAGTACAAACATAAGTTCCCATGTACAATGAACACTTAAATAGTGTAACAAAAGGGTTAAATTGCATAATTCAATATGGATTTGTTGATATTCTATTTCCGATGAGTATTATGCACGAGTACGTATTATTCATGAATAGATAAGTCTTTTGAACATTGATCAATTGGAAGGGTGCTTATTGATCATGAGATTGTTCACATGTCCCTATATCAGCAAATAGCACCATGGGCGCTTATTAGAGAGGAGTGCTTATTGCCCTCGAATACAGTATTACTCATTTGTGAAATTCTGTGTTAGCAGGTCAGTTAACAATTAAACAAAAACAAAGAGCCTAAGTTACTATTCTTCCTTCATTATTGATCAAACCAGTGAGTGAGTGAGTATGGTTTCACACTGCTTGCAGCAATATTCCATCAACATCACGACGGGGGCCTCAGAAATGGGCTTCACACATTGTACCCATGTCGGAATCGAACCCGGGTCTTCAGTGTGGCAAGCGAAAACTTTAACCACTTGGCTACCCGACAGACATGCTAGGGTAGACAGCATTGATCAAACCAGAACATGCCAGGGTAGATACCATTGATCAAACCAGAACATGCTAGGGTAGACAGCATTGATCAAACCAGAACATGCCAGGGTAGATACCATTGATCAAACCAGAACATGCTAGGGTAGACAGCATTGATCAAACCAGAACATGCCAGGATAGATACCATTGATCAAATCAGAACATGCTAGGGTAGACAGCATTGATCAAACCAGAACATGCCAAGGTAGATACCATTGATCAAACCAGAACATGCTAGGGTAGACACCATTGATCAAACCAGAACATGCTAGGGTAGACAGCATTGATCAAACCAGAACATGCCAGGGTAGATACCATTGATCAAACCAGAACATGCCAGGGTAGATACCATTGATCAAACCAGAACATGCTAGGGTAGACAGCATTGATCAAACCAGAACATACAAGGGTAGACAGCATTGATCAAACCAGAACATGCTAGGGTAGACAGCATTGATCAAACCAGAACATGCCAGGGTAGATACCATTGATCAAACCAGAACATGCTAGGGTAGACAGCATTGATCAAACCAGAACATACAAGGGTAGACAGCATTGATCAAACCAGAACATGCTAGGGTAGACAGCATTGATCAAACCAGAACATGCTAGGGTAGACAGCATTGATCAAACAAACTTGTCCACAACTCATTTCGCTCTAGTGGTTCATGTAAATGAGCTAGATTTTGGTAGAAAACAACTCGTCCCTCTGGGCTTTCATTGGCCTCCAACCAACAGACTAGTGACTGTGTGTGACAAGGACATGAGGGAGATATACTCCCGTATATCCTGGTTATGTCATATATATAATTCATTCGTTACATCACAATTATTTGTTGAAACATTAAACACTTCATTTTTGTATCATGCATCATAAAACTCTATTGATGCTTTGAAAAAAAACTCAAACATTTTTTTCCTCAGTGGCATTTATACAAGTTTATGAGCAACAATGACACAGCTTTGTGGAATGATATTGTTTGTATTTTTCACTTTGTGTATTGAAACGTTACCAACAGGATACAACACAAGATTGTGTAGCTAGTAGAATGGCTTACATTTATAATGGCATATGGGATTCTGGGTTAGAATAGTCCCCAGCAACCAATCTTGATCGTAGGCATCGACCAAATGGACTGTTGTCAGGCTTGCTGGTTGATAGAGCCTCATTGTACCGTGATGCTGCGGATTGATGTTCACACTATCGATCACTGGATTGTCTGGTCCTGATTATGTAGACTGCTGTCATATAGCTGGAATATGGCTGAGTTCGGAATTAACAACAAATAAACAAACATTGTGTCCAGCTAATCCCCATTAAGTCTGTTGTCACAACAAACATGGTACTGGAGAAAGAGGACAAGGGTTGATTACTCATCTGTTTTTTGCTATTCCGCCCACTATTTCAAACGAGAGTAAGTAACAGATGCGTTGGGCCAATCTTAGACTTGCTTGGGCTTTTAGTAAAAAAAAACCTAATAAATATAAATTCCATAGTCATAGCGCAGGGCTAGGCCAATCTCAGCAATATGTCATCTTTATAAAAATTCTGTAAATATTTGACTCTGGTCCAGACAAACCGAATTTGTGACCAATGATGATTACACACACAGCTAGCGCCTGACCACCCAATCCTCTATTAGCAGCTCTTATGACACACACTATTCATCCCAGGCACACCATTTTGTAAGGAGAGCACCTCTCACCTGGAGTTTCACAGCTACCTCAGATTCTTCTATGGAAACTGACTTGGTCCAAGATTATCAGAGGTTAAAATCTAATAATCTGTAATTGCCCTATTACTAGTAAATATAACCCTTAAACTGTAGTTAATCAAGATAAATGGCAAAGGTAATGATGTTAAGTTCATAATGACCCAGATGGCTCATGACCCATAATAGCCTGTGGGACACTCACTGAGTCAGGCTGAGAGCTGCTCCTTTAACTGCACGGCCCAAACAGGTCTTAAGGAAAATAGCAGTATATTGTCCATCAAGCATACATTGTTGTCAGATAGTGGGGTTTCAATTACCTAGTTTGAAACTCACATAAGACCGGGTGTCCATTTACAGGTCACATTTGTCCAAATGAAGGGCTTTGTTCAAATAGAGGCGGGGTCGGGATGAATGGAGGACTTAGTGGTACAGAAGATGGCTGATGACCAATTGAGCTACCCTGTGTCCACCCCGGTATTGAACTAAATGACCTCTTGATTGTTACTGTACATTGATGGCTCACAACTCAGGAGCCAATCAGGGCGTGGCATGGCTTGTTAGCTTATTGCAATTATTAACATGAATTAGAGGATAAAATCTCCTTTTTTTGCCAGATTGAAATAATGTTTTGCTGGATAGGTTGTTTAAAGATGGTGCGGGCTGGGCTGGGGTGGGGAGCGGGTTGGGAGATGGGATGTGTGTGAATGTAGGCTACCACCACTTCTTTCAACTCAGAGTGAGTGAGTGAATGAGTGTAAATTGGCATTATCTCCGCCTTTATTTCTACTGAGAGTGATAGAATAGCCTTTAATCTCTTGCCCATGGTATTAGAAGAAACACAGCAGACTAGTCAGATTGTCTGCTTCAAACAAAATAACAGTTGCAAACAATCCAAAAGTTCATGACAAATTTGTTAAAGTGTATTTTGTTTTGGAATGAAAGAATGTGACCTATAAGAAGTATCCAGATTGAGATTGACTTTGTCTTGTGATGAAAGAGTGTTTCTGCTCGGTCATTGGTAATCAATGTGACAGTTTGCATTGTAATGTAGATGTGTTGACTTTAACTCAGGCGGGGGCACCTTATCAATGTGGGCTTGCGTGGAGAAGAGACGTGCAAGGGAACCCTCTACTAAATATAAACTCTTTAAACTGGAGCGGAGGGGTTGTCACTTCCTCGTGAGCACTGCTGATTACTTTACTTATAGTAGCTGCACTGGTGTGACTTGTCCCAGTTTGCAATGGTGGCCAAGCTGCACTGGTGTGATTTGTCCGAGTCTGAATGATGGCCAAGCCGCACTGGTGTGATTTGTCCCAGTTTGCAATGGTGGCCAAGCCACACTGGTGTGATTTGTCCCAGTTTGCAATGGTGGCCAAGCCGCACTGGTGAGACTTGTCCCAGTTTGCAATGGTGGCCAAGCCGCACTGGTGTGATTTGTCCCAGTTTTCAGTGGTGGCCAAGCTGCACTGGTGAGACTTGTCCCAGTTTGCAATGGTGGCCAAGCCGCACTGGTGTGATTTGTCCCAGTTTTCAGTGGTGGCGAAGCCGCACTGGTGTGACTTGTCCCAGTTTGCAATGGTGGCCAAGCCGCACTGGTGAGACTTGTCTCAGTTTGCAATGGTTGCCAAGCCGCACTGGTGTGACTTGTCCCAGTTTGCAATGGTGGCCAAGCCGCACTGGTGAGACTTGTCCCAGTTTGCAATGGTGGCCAAGCCGCACTGGTGTGATTTGTCCCAGTTTTCAGTGGTGGCCAAGCCGCACTGGTGGTGAACTGGCACCATGTATACACTTAACCTACATGAGGATTCAAATCTGGGTTATCTTTGTGACAAGCAAACACACCAACCACTTGCCTACCCAAATAGATGTAGGGGGAAGGTAAGAGACTCTCACCAGGAAGCTGATTATTTCTGGGTCAGGTGATATCGACCTCTTGTTTGTAAAAACAAGTCCAACATGGATCTTGGTAAAGATCTGGCTCTTGAAGCTTTGAAACCTAAGTTTGTGAGTGTGAGATGGCATTAAGTTTGGGGGTTGGCCTGAAAGTGTATCTCTTTGCATCAGGTTTTATGAGTTTAGTTTTAATTCAGGACACATTCTGAATTTAGGTTAGTGCCAAAATATTGCAACCATGTGAAAGAATTACTGCAGACAGACAAAGATAAAAGGAATATAAACAGTCACACCAGAAGCAGATAAAATCAGAGGAAATGGCAGAGGGGCCAGCGTCTTTCTGTTATCTGGTTGCCAGGGCTATTACATGACACTCTAATGTTTCTATTCCTAGGGGAGAGACGTTTGGGATGGGATGGGATGGGGGGGGGGGGGACTGGAAGAGAGGGGATGTGGGACAAGGCTAAGAACTGTAATAACATTCCCACCTCAGTAGCAGGGTAGGACAAGAGACATTACAGGATCTCGACCCTTGACCCTTGACCCTCGACCCTCACATGATAGCTAGATAGTGTTCCCCAGGGCTGTGGGTAGGGGTTCAGGGACATTATGTGACTCTCTCATGGTTCTATCCCTTGGTAAGGAGCAGGGATGGAGAGGGGGGACATAGGGACTATTGACCCTCCACTAAGTATGCTTGTCGTAAGAGGTGACTATTGGGATCGGGTGGTCAGACTCGCTGACTTGGTTGATGCATGTCATCGTATCCTAATTGCATGGATTAGTGCTCATGATGTCAAGGACTGGGCTCACAAGAAGGCGAGAGGAGGGTTTAGTAAGATCAATGAATCCTGAATATGTAGTAATATCCCAGCATAATATGCGGGTGGGGGGATATAGACATCATCTGCTCTGTCCGTCTCCCCGTCCGTATTTTTTACCAGAGCATAACTTGAAAACAATGAAAGGTACACAATGTGGGGTTTTGTATTAAGGTATGTTCCCAGGGGTAATTGTCCGGGAGGCATGAGTTCTGGATTAACAGGAGTTCACGGTAGTTGGAATATTTTTTGCAGTGTACAGGAAAATATCATTTACAATTCTTGCCTTTGTCCTAAAGTATGCTCAGAAAAAATGGTGTAAATGTATGGTTGTCTTTAACCATTACTCTGTCATTGATTTATGAACAAATGATCAATCTGGTCCTTGTAAACAATTCCCATGATTGAAAGAAACTCAAGTAGTCAGAAAAAGATTACTTCAGTTTCAAACTAATTGATACATAAAACATTAGTGAACAGTCAAATAGTGGCTAACATGTGGGTAAGAAGATAGGATTCACGTTATGTTAAGATTTAGAGAAAAACTCTTGAGGACTAAAATATGTTTACAAAGAATATCTATTTTTGTAAACCCTTTACATGTTCTATTTTAAATTCAAAATCAAATGAGGAACTTGCAGATGGGCATGTAACTCATGTCTGTCAAAATTAGCTCTGCCTGGGGTACATAAAAATTGTTTGAAACTGCTTCAAGACTGTAATCGAGATAGAAATTTGGGTATGGTGGCGCTGAATGAATGATAGGTAGCCTTTGTGGATGTCCATCTCGTCTGCCTGACGCCTCCCAACGCCTACTGACACAAGATGTCTTAAAGAGTTCAGTTGTAGTAGATTGGATTTCCATGGAGTCTTTATATACAGGATGTGGACATGGGGGGGGTCCTGTAGGGGTTGGAGCTGGAGAATAGACACGGTAGCGATGTATATTGTATAAAGAAGCAGTCTGATGTCCAGCTGACAGTGTCATAACTGAATCAAAGTAACGTCTGAATGAGCAAGGGAAAGTTAAAATGGGATGTGGAGGATTCAAAGTTGATTGTTGCATCATGACATTTTTTTGAATGGGTACCCTAAGCCTCTTCTTTCTTCACAAGCATGACCTCAGCTGGATGGGTCTCTGAAGTAGGAACATAGCCAGGCCCACAATGCATCATGATCAGATTACACCATAGGGCCCTGTACGGGTTGGTGCTGCATGGCTAGAATGATGGGGAAGGACAAGAGTGGGGAATTTGGTATGGAGGTGAGAAGAATTTCGTAAGTCGGCTCTTGTTAAGAATTCAGCAGTAGGAAGACAGCAGTAGGAAGACAAGCAGGGGTGGGGTTGGAGGTGGGGTGAGGTTGGCGTGAAGTTGGGGTGAGGTTGGCGTGAAGTTGGAGAAAGTCTGGGAGGGGCAGTCCCAGGTGTGAGTGGGAGCATGTGCTCCAGGTTAGAGTTGGTGGTCTTCAGTGTGAAGAAGCTGACCTCACTGCAGGTGTCTCCCTGATCCAGTCTCACCCCATCTGCAGATGATCAGTGCAGATCTTGGCAAGTGTTCTGGACACCTGACACCTTTCTGGAGGTTCAGTGTGTACTGAGGTCTGGTTGTCTGTTGGTGGCAGGTCTACATGGACATTACATGCATAGACTGTACGTTGCCGTCATGGTTTGCTGCAGATAGCTGCCCGTCATAGATTGTAACTGGGAGTTATCTAACGTGACTCAGTTGCACTGAAAGACTTTGTTTGTTTGTTGTTTAACGCTGCACTCAGCAATATTCCAGCTTTATGACGGCGGTCTGTAAATAATCGAGTCTGCAACAGACAATCCAGGATTGACATCATGAGCATCGATCCCTGCAATTGGGATACGATTACATGCATCAACAAAGTCAGCAAGCCTGACCACTCAATCTCGTTTGTCACCACTAGCCATGGGTTGCTGAAGACCTATTCTAACCTGGATCTTCACGGGTCCACTGAAGGACTGATCAGACACAGAGACACAACACAATACATTAATGCACAGTTATTAGGTGATTTGCAAAGTTGGATATTCAAGATTAGACTTTTTTCTGGATAATATGGCTGGGAGGGAGGGACTAAGAAATCTGGGAGGAGTAGTCAGGATACATGGGTTTGGGCATGGGTGAGGTGAGAATAGATCCCGAGAAACAAGATGTGCGGTTACTTAATGGATCTGGTGGTCAGGCTCAGTGATGGTAGATTGTGTGTGATGACGTGGCACATTTGCTCGCCATATCAGTCACTGGTCGGTCTAACCCGGGCTGGATTTTTTTGATAATATAGCTTGAATAATGCTGACTTTGGCTTTAAACAACAAACAAGAAAACAAGTGTGTGGATGAGATGAAAGGAAAAGAGTGTTATGGAGTTGAGAGGTTGTCAGGATGAACAGCTGTAGATGTCTTGGCGATGTGGCCTCCTATTCCATGTTGTAAGGCCTGACACACCTTGTTCCAAGATATCAGCTTCACTTGGAAATAGTCAAATCAGTCTCAAACTGGGAGGGATGAATGGAAGAGTGGGTCATTGGATGGATGGATGGATGGATCAGTTATAAACTGGGATGGATGGAAGGATGGGTCATTGAATAGATGGATAAGTTTTTAGATGGGATGGAAGGGTTTGGTCATTGGATGGATGTATAGATGATGAATCAGTTTTAAACTGGGATGATGGATGGAAGGGTGGATCATTGGATGGATGGGGG